GTCAGGTGCGTCGCCCTTGGATACGGACGTCCTTGGCGTCAGGTACGTTTGGTCAGCCTGGTGTTTCGGAAGCGAAGTGTTGGAGTGAGCGAGATGTCTTGTGTTCGGTTTGGGGAGTGTTCTGAGCTGCCATGGGCCAGCTCGGGTCACAGCTTTGCGAGACTTGGGGCCCAATATAGTTTGTGCTCCTTGCAAGGAGCTCGGGTTCTCAGTAGGGAGCTCGGGTTCTTAATAGGGAGCTCGGACCCTTAATAGGGAGCTCGCTCTTAATAGGGAGCTCGGACTCGCAGTAGGGAGCTCGGGCTCTTGGTGGGGAGCTCGGGCTCCTAGTAGGGCGGTCTGGAGTTCAGGCTCAGTAGTGGGCTTGGACTTGCTTTCGGTGTTTGCTTCGGGTGCTCTACTGTCCTGAGTTGCTTGTCTTTGCCACGTGTCGGATGATTGCGAGGTCGGGCCAAATTCCCCTTCATCAAAATCCATTTCGAATTGGTCGGCTCATGTCAATCTGGTTAGGTGTGACCCCACCTACACGTGGCGGCAAGGTGTCATAAAATGGTTTGGGCTCACCATGTGGCTCTATGTAATTGGAAGGCCAAATCACCCACATCAAATATAATTACAAGGGAAATAGCAATGATTGAGCAAAATGTAAAAGAATATCTAAACCCTTTAGGACTCATACAAAGGTTGTGTTTATCGGTGTATAACACAAAGCATTGGATCACAACTTATGTATGACACATTGACTTCCATGTAAGATCTAAATCACCATGTTTCTAGGGCAACGGCAGGGTGGTGCAAATCATCACTTATAACCATGGTTTTGAAAACCAGACTAGACCAGATGGTCGGACCAGTTGACTCAATAACCAATCATGCAACTGGTTTTGTTTCACCCTAAAACTGTTCCTAGGCCAAAAACCACTGATTTGGTCAATGATTTGGTAGTTTGGGCAATCGAATCGTTGACCCGTCAACCCGAACAATGGTTTTTGACCTTTTATTTTATTTTATTTTATTTTTTAAGTCATAACAGTCCACTTGTTTGAACTAAACAATCAAACTGTTTGACCTAGGAATTGGTCCCCAAAATAGTTCTGTATCTGGTTCGGCTTTTAAAACCTTGCTTATGACACTTCTAATATCGACATTTATTACGTAATTGAGGCAATGTCGGTTGTAAATGATTTTTCGATAATCACCTAAACCAAACAGCGTATATTCAAAATCTTTTTCATCTATGTGGCTTGGGATGATTATAAAATAAATACCTAATTTAAATGACTTCGCTTATATGAAAATTATCATTGTACAGAAACTTAAAGGCCTGCTCTATTTTTGGATTTTGGGAGGGGAAAAGTTGGTGGGTGGGATTATGGTTTTCATTAACCAAACACTTATATTCCTTTTCCAGATTTATGTAGGGCCTACAGAATTGATTTATACATCTCCCAGGTGGGTGAAAAACCTTTTTGAAACAAAATTATCCCTTTTAATAATAGTTTTTTTATGGTTTAAACAAGCATTTTCTTTTTTTACTTGAGAAATAAAAGAACATATATAAATGTAATTACGGGAATAAATATTTTAATTCAAAAAAAATATTTACTCAAATAAATAAATTTACCTTGTTCCTGAAAAACAGTGGACCCTAAGTCTATGTTTGGTTTAAAGGAAAATGTAGGAAAAGGAAGGAAAAAATAGAAAAACCTTTACAAATCTTGTATTAATTTCCTTATCTTTCCCTACCTTTTCCTTCAAATCAAACATAGCCTAAATGAAATTTATCACCGTATTTTGCTTGTTTTCGGTCTATTTAATGACTAACTAACTTGAATCAATAACAAAAGATTATTTTATACAAAAAATAATAAAAGGTTATGCCCGTAATACAATACAACATTAACGATTTCCAAGATCAAAAAAAAAAAAAGTTTCTTGAAAAACGCCTAGAACCATAGAAATCTGAGAGAATCACATTCACAAATATTACGTGATTGACAGCTTCTACATAACATACAAATTACAATTCAATACCAGTATACTTTTCCGGGTTTTGTTGGTCCATATTCCTTGACCCTGACCCGGATAAAAGAATATTCAAAGGAGGGACCACAGGCACACTGTCACAGATCCTCGTCACATAACCGAGACGGATCTGCTTCTCACAGAGGGCGTCTCACACGCACATCCTACTATACGTTGAAAACATCTTTCTAAGTTTTTATTCACGAGAAATGTTTTTAATGCACGGTAGATATGCATGTGAGGCGCCCAAGTGTGAGGAGAAGATCCCGTCTCCACAGAACGAGGGCATGCGTACATCCCCACACTGGCAGAAGCCCGCAACGCAACAAAACCAACTACCCCCACATGGGCCATCATGATCCATGCAAATGCACCCACAAGTCCAATTGGTGTGAAAGACATACACTGAAAATTAAAAAAGCATAAGGCACGTGGCTCTTCTCAGCCATTGTAAATTTGTAATTTTATTTCTATTAGATCTGTTCATGGGTCGGGCCGGGCCGGGCTTTCACTCTGTATTAACAGAATTTTCTAAGATCTGAGCCCGAAATTTAGCCCATACTATTAGCGGTATATATAGAGAGAGAGAGAGAGAGAAAGAGTATAAAGAAAAGAATAAAAAATGTATATATTAAATTATAAATATATATTTTAATAAATATTATATTATTTATATATTTTATATAAAATACATATTATATATTTTATAAAATATATAATGTTGAGTCGGGCCAGGCCGGGCTTTTTTGACAAATCCCAGGCCCGGCCCGAAACACAGTCGGGCTTACTGTGTTAGGCCCGTGGGCCTAATTACATGACCAAGCCCAACCGGGGTGCGAGCCGGGCCATTGGGCTACTTGGCCCATGAACAGGTCTAATTTCTATACTACCCAAAACGTACGTGAAACGGTGAAAGAGCTTAACCAATCAAAACCCTGTGTGAGTCAGCGATATCTGGTCGATGACATTTGGGTCTCGCTCGTTTTTCGGTAAATTATTTATTCGGGTGAATAAAGTTATTTAAAAAAAATTCTGAGAAATATTTATTTGAGTAAGTGTATTTACTTATGTTCTTTTATTTTTCATGTAAATAAGGCAATGACCATTTTATTCCTAAAAAATCATTATTAAAAATAGCATTCTTATCCTATTCAAGTGTTCAACTTTCTTCCTACGTGAAAAACGTAGGAGATAGAGGTGAGTGATATCCAGAAAAATAAACTTCCCTTTATCTTCACATAAATCTCAAAAAAAAAAACATAAAATTCTTCATCAATGGAAAGCAAAATCCCCCATCCCCCAGTAGCGGTGTACATTCTCAGCCCGGCCTAGGTTTTGTTATTGGGCCCAGCCCAGCTCACATGTCTAATGTCTTATTTGCAGCAAATCCAGAATCTACGTAAACGGTAATCAATCGCTGCATGACAAGTGTTTTTTAAAAAGATCCGTACAGCTGAGAGTGGGTAGGTGAATAGGAGATTCTGTGATGATAAAGAGAGAACGCGTAATTGATTCTGGAGGGTTCCGACTTCCGAGACAGCTAAGTACAAAGATGCAAGGGAATTGGTGACGACTGGTTCTCGAATTCTCGATGTATCCCGCATCCGAAACATTTGGAGGCAATTAATTCCACGATGGTCCATCGGTTGTTTACTCCCCCGTCGCTGATTGCTCCACCGTCCCACCCTAAAAATGTCGACACCATGTGCTTATGGATGGCTTCATTTCATCTCTGTATATTTTCACTTTTTTTTTAAATAAATAAAAATCCGTATATTTCACTTTTTCTATGAAAAATCGCAAATTTCAATGCTGTTATTTTTTATTTATTTTTAAATTATTCTTGGGATAATTTAAGTATTAAACATGGTCAATAAAAAGAACATTCTCCAACAATGATTCTTCAATCTTATCCCAATATCCTAGGAGTATATATATTTTATATAATCGTATAGGTGAAAAGCACGTAATTTATGAAAATTTTTAATTCCTTCTTTTTTTTAAGATAATCTGCGGGTCGAATCTAAATTGAATAAATCCAAATCTGACCCGATTACAAATCTACCTACAGTAGAACCACAGGACCATTGGGTCTCCACAATCGTCCCCAAACTCACCACTTTTGAAATCAATCTCACAACCTTTTTGATTGAATTTGATTTGATAGAAATGAAGAGAGAAACAGCTAACAACTTTCCGTGGACCTTTTAAACACAGGTTTAAAAGTTAATTAAGTAGAAGAACATTATTGGTCAAGCTCTAATTTGGAGTTGGGGTAGTCATGGCGTAATTAAATTAAATTAAATTTGGAGAACACCATCCCACCAACCATATTGACATTGGGAGTTGTTTGTCATACCAATACCATGAGCGATGGCCCATGGGAAGTGGGAAGAAAGTTCACCCTTCATGGAACTAAACTCAGCATGTGATTCAAATAGATTTAGCCTACTTGCGGTTCCTACTTTTCCTCTTCAGTCTTCACTTCCTCTAGCATGATGTCCCCCCTCATGTCAAACCTTCAAAAAGGTTGTGATATGATAAATATTGATAATACCCTCAATAAACGTTCGTATGTTGTTGATAATTGATACCATTTTTTCATGATATTATTATTATTATTGTTGTTGATGCCCATGGAACAAAACACATACAGTCATCACTTGTGGTCACATAACATGTCAAACGCCCTACAACTCTTCCCAAGGGGCAGAGACTCTGTTCCTCAAGTGGGTTGATCCAGGTGGAGGTAGAGCTCGGGAGCTTGAGAGATTAATTGAAGTCTAAGGTAGTGTACTGAGGTGACTAGAGAGCAATAGCAAGTATAGAGTGTACCTTTGGAATTGTGGAGTTTGGCTTCAGTCATGGCAAAGCCCATTCAGGCAACTTTTATTGCCTTGCATTGAGAATAATATCTCCATACTTGTTGCTTGGGGACATATTCCCAATGCAAGGTTATAAAAGGCTATTAGAATGGTGTGGACACAGATTTTCCCTGATAGAAGCTGATCTTGGAATTGTGTGCCATTTTTTTTATGAAGGATGACTCATTAAGTTGGGGTGCAGTGGCCAACCATTACCGACTCCACGCATTATGGCTAGGTCATCAATGAATTTACCATTGTGCCCTTCAACATGGAGCACATGGTGACTTCTCATTGGCTAGGGTCATTTGGCCCCATATTACTACTACTACTGCTACTACTACTACTACTATTAAGGTAACTTGGACTTTGATAGATGATATTAGCCGTGAATTATACCTCTAATTTTTCATAATACCCATTACAACTACATTGTGTTTCCATAATTATTTTTTCGGAGTGTTAATATTTCTTAGGAAAAATAGTGATTTTTTATAGATAGGATAAAAAAAAGTGACTTAGGTGGCGTTTGGTAACATTTTTCAGACGTCTGAAGTTTGAAATATCTGCTTTTCAGATGCAATGCTTATTTGGTGTTGCATATGAAATATGATCTGAAAAGTTTTTTCATATATGAAATTTTAAGACTCATGCCCATCACCTAATGCATTTCAGACGTAGCCTAAAGTCAAAAATACCCCTACCCCATTCGATCACTCTCTCTCTCTCTAATTATTTTTTTCAATTTTAATTGTTTCATTTATTAATTAGTAATTTTTAATTTTTAATTTATTATTTGTATTGTTTCAATATTATTTTGAAGTTGAAAATTGTTTTTTATGAGATAATGCTAATTGAACTCAACATTTCCAAATGGTATGTTCTAGGGGTAAAATAGTAAATTCAGTGAACATATAGTAAAGGGTTGATCCAAGACAAACAAACTTATGGATTAAGAGCCTTTAAAAAGTAGAAAATCACATATGCTTCTTTTTAGATTTAAGACAAATAATATCTTTTTTACTTTTCAAAATTCAGATTTCAGATTTATCAATTGCCACTTTAGGCACATCCATTTTTATAGATAAGAGACTCACCCAAATCATTATTCAAAGGAAGAACATGTGTTTTAAATAACAAATACCATAGCTAATATTGATCTTTCATTGAGGATGTGTGCCCTGTTTGTCAAAAATGGGATGTTCAAATCCCTCCCAAATGAAAAGCAAAAGAAAAACCTAAAATGAGGATTGGCTGTATTTAACTAAGTGGCAAATGATTTTAGTTTTATTTTTTTTTCTCCAAAAACCATGTCTTAAACTTGCCAAGTTGAAATGGTTAAAAGGGCTATGTGCAGAACAAAAAGGACATGAGTTGAAATAGCAAGAAACGATTTAAGCATAGTTTGGATAAGGCTTAAATGATGATGATGACGATTACATGTTTATAAGAATTTTCTAATAATTAATTGTAAAATATTATATACTATTTGTCTTTATAATATATTTCGGTTTTTTCCTTTTTTTCCCTTTTTGATAAAAAAGATAAAATGTTTTTCAGCATATAATTAAAATAGATATGACTTAAAATAGGATAGATGAACAAAAAGGATTCATATAGCAGACACATATAGCTTGGATAAAGTATGATAGAACTAGTAAAGGTTACCGACCGCCTGGAAGGAAAAAAGTATATAGCCAGCATGTGAAGCCCATTTCTTTTTAAACTTGCTTGATCTATCTACTTTCAAACCAATATGGGATGATAATAAATTGGGTTCAAATAAGGAGGTCTGGTCTGCTTTGGTGGCCGACAGCTTAAACTAGCAGCCTTGCCTTCAACCACAAAACTCTTGAGATCGAGAAATGCTGACTTCCACCGGTTGGCTGGCGGCGATATGGGGCCACGGCCGTGTGTGGTAGTGGCCGCCAGCCGGCCCCTCAGACTTTAGCATTATTCTATGCTTGCCTTTTAATCTAGAATAGGTAGACGATTGCGATCACCAGCCACCAGGTTCTCAATCATCAACAGGACATGCAGATAAGCTGTTTGACGATTTGCCTCGAGTTTATGACCAAACTTAGCAAATGGGTATTGGCCACTTAGACAAGTTAACCACTCAAAATTTAATTAATGAACTCCGATGCTTGTCTTGGAGTGGATGACCAGTCTGGAAAGCTGGCAAGCCATAGTATCGGGGCCCGGGGGGACCTCTTCCGCCTCCGGTCGACTTTTCAGTTCAGAATGTGGGTGGCCAGTAGCCACACATATAAGTTCCTCAGTTTCATCTGGGGTAACTTGGAATCTGCAGGATTGACAGGTTTTCCCAGTCATCTCTCCAATTAACACTGCGTATATATCTGTCCACACTCAATCCACTCCGTGAATTAATGATCAAGTTGCACACCCAAACAAAGGATTCTACAAAAAGCACTGACAGAATCTTCTTTGGAGTCCAGCTCCAAGGAATGAAGGGTGCATGAACTTGTCATCCATTCCAGGGAAGGGATGATGCTTAAACGCTGATAAAATGCATTTCAACCAATAGCCTCAAAGTGGATCCTAATTGCATCAATTTATTTTTTTAATAAATAAAAGCTAAAACGTTTTAAACACCGGGTTCGCATCCGCCCCCCACAGGTTTGCCCCCCAAAAACATCTCACGGACTCACAGCGCGCCGCGTGTCCTCCCACACGCGAATTAGACTCTCTCCTGCGGTTAACTCACTTCGCCCAAAAGGTCATCCCCTCTCAGACTTTCACTCTTCTCTCTCTCTTGAATTTCATCCTCACTTGAACTTTCGACCTTCCGTTCTCACTACTGAAACCGGCCGGAGCTTGCCCCCTTCGAGTTCCATTAGTCGACGCCGACGATCGTTCCGGCAGATTTATTTAACGAAGGTAAGTTCCGTTCTCATATCCGTTTATTCTCAGTTCTCGTATCTGTATTTGTATATGCGGTCATATTTGACACTTATTCATTGACTTGCAGGCTCATCTGATCCGATTGCCAAAGGCCTTGCTCCCCTGGGATCATAGTACAAGTGGGTAAGACTTTGGTTAACTCGTTGCAAAGGCCAAAGGCCTCGCTCTTGGCAAGAGCGGAACTCGAAGGGGGGCAAGCTTCGGCGGGTTTCAGATCTGAGAACGGAAGGTAGAAAATCAGAAAAAACAAAAAACAACGTAAGAAATGAGAAAAAATAGATATGAAAACTGACAATAAATCTGCCGGAATGATCATCGGCGTTGATCGACGGAACTTGAAGGGGGGCGTGCTGAGAACGAAAGGTCAGGTTCAAGTGAGGTTAAAATTCGAAAGAGAGAGAGGAGTGAGAATCTGAGAGGGGATGACCTTTTGGGCGAAGTGGGTTGGTTAGCTCCGCACAAGAGAGTCTAATTCATGTGTGGGAGGACACGCGGCGCTCTGTGAGTCCGTGGGATGTTTTTGGGGGGCAAACCTGTGGGGGGCAGATGCGAACCCTTAAACACCACATCTGCATCGTCTGTAGTCTCTACCAAACAGATTTCTCACAGAAACGTTTCAAAACCTCTCATTCTAAAAAAGTGAGAAATGCCACTGCCCTTGTTTGCAAGGAAAAGGACATAAAAAAGAAAACAACAAAAAAAAAAAGTATGAGATAAGAAGTATTTTCTTTTATGAGATATGGAAGCCAGTTTAGCTTTGATCTTTTCATTCTCCACTCTTCTTTTTTGGTTTTTTCCACCTTTTTAGGGTCCATTTAGTTTGTAGAAATTCGATTTTGGAGGAAATGGATTCCGATTCTGGGGATTCTGAGTTGATTTTTGAATGGAAAAATGTTAATTTTGTTAACAGGTTGGTTTCACCATAAACTGTCACTGGGCTCATAATGGTTTGGATTAAATGATTAATGTATACAGTTGATTTGTCGGATCCAGGTGGATTTTAATTTGCTATTTTATTTTATTTTATTTTATACCCAAATGAAAATTCAAAAAGTGGGAAGTTGATCAGAATGGTCAGACTGTTCAACTCAACCCGTGACCCGTCAGGTTCTCAGATGGTCCACGTCCATTGAAGCCTCGAGAACATTAGGAAAGACAGTTCTGATTCCCTGAAATGCTGTATGTAACCTAGTAAAAAGAAGCACGTAACTAGTTATCAATTTGAAAAATACGTAAATTGATGGGCGGAAGTGGATCAGAGGTTAAAGTTGGGTTACTGGATCTTAATCCAGCCCATGGATCCAAAAAGGTAATCGGTACATGACATGGCTGGGTTGGACCCGAATAGATATGGACTTGTAGTGCATGTCCAGCACATTCATAATCATAGTTGCGGTTAATGCTTGAAGCTCGTCCATTGGCCATTTGAGGTCTGATCTCTGAAGTCTGAACAGCTCTGGCTCTTTTTAGTGCTGCGTGCCGTGATGGGTGATGACCGGTGAATAGCTGAGACTGGGAGATGGCTTATCTTCACCCGAATGGAATATCTGCAATTATGCATACCCGATTTCCAAATTTTGTCATATTGTTTTTTTTTTTTAATTTTAATTTTTATTTATTTATTAATGTTTTTGTTGTTTTCATACATTACAAACAAAGCAAAAAAAAAAAAATCGATACAGGAGGAGGTATCAGAAACCCATTATATACTCGGATAGTCGGATACTCCAAACTCGAAATGGCAAAATTACTAATTGGGCCACACGAAAGGCGCATTCTTACTGCATGCAAGCTTTATCCATACACACCTATCTGAAAAAAAGCGTTATCCATCCACACGTCAAACAGTGCCTTCCACGTGCTTTGAGATCAACGGAAAAAAAAAAAACAAATAAAAGATAAATGATGTTATGAACTTACAAACAGATAAGATCTGCATTTTCTATTTGTGATATATACAAGGAACTACTGAGATCTCCCAATGGAAATCATCCATATGTGATCAATTTGTCCTTTGGAGCAGCTCGGTATTTTGAAAAGTTAGGTAAATGCATAAGGCTGCATTTGGCATTCCAATGAAATTAATGCCAAATGCAGGTAAATGTTTTTTAGAAATGCTTATTGTATTTACCTATGTTTTTTTTTTCTAGGTAAATAATATATAACCGTTTTAGTCACAAAAAGTCATTATTGAAAACGATAATTTTGTTCTATTCTATTAATATTTGCAATTTTTTTTTTAAGTGGAAAAGTTAAATACCCACTAAGTAAGCAATACTTAGGTAAAATGAATTTCAAATATCAATGAATGAGAACCAAAATTCTATTCACCAATTTCCCCCTCTCAAAATCCAAAAAGCAAAAAGGTCTTAATTGAAACTTTAAATTCAGACCGGTTTAAAATATTAGTGTTTGAAAAAATAAAACATCTATTGGTGTTTAATTTAAAATAAAAAAAAAATCTATGACGCAAAAAAAATATGGTATGAAAAGTGTTTTGACCAATCAAAACCCACCCATGAATTTTGATAAATAACACATGATTGGCTACCACATGATTCAGCTGAATGGGTCAGAAGTTTTTCAGATATCATATATTTTCCATATCATAGTCGAACACAAATAATATTAACACTACAAAATATTAGTGTTCTTTTTTTATAATACAAAATATTAGTGTTTGAAAAAAAAAAAAATCTTTTGTTTGTCATAAAACAGGCGGGTTACCAACCAGCCTGTTGGGACCTTGCATAAGTCGTCGTAACTATTGAAATTTATTACATCATTCAATATGTTTGTTTAACACAGCTAATAATTATTCTTTTTATTCTTTTTCTGATATTTTGTTACTTGAAAAAATACAATTTTTCATGTCACTTAATGCGGGTATTTTCATAACGATTTTATAAAAGAAAAGGAAACTTATTTAAAAACACACTCATAAATTCAGAATCTCCTGTTACCGAAAGAGAGGGAAAAGAAAATAAAATCCTCACGGGCCATAAACTTCAGTTTTTCTATTTTCGTTTTGCTTTTCAAGTGGCACCTTTATGTCTTTCTTATGAAGACATGGATGAAGCCATTCTCGTCCACGAAGAAAGGAAGAAGAAGAAGGAAAAAAGTCAACAATAGTCAAAGTTAGGAATTTGGAAATTCGAACAACTGTTGGGATTTTGGTCTCCATTTTTTAAAATTTGTTTATATATTTAATAATATAGTGGAGGAAGGAAATAACTAGTACTAGTGCATCTGTGCATTGATGTAAATAATTAGGATATGGGTTGATGGAGATGTAACGTGGGTTCTGTTCATCTCGTCTTATTTAAATAATGAATGAAATGAATCAACAATACTCAAGAGAAGAGCCACTTCCACTTTAATCTGTAAAGCACAGATCCCTCCTCCTCCCCATCAACAGTCACCACGTGCTTCTCTCCATAATTTTACAATTGTTTCTTCTAACTTCCGGATTTCTTAAATTAGTATGTGTTCATGTCATGAGCATTCGGTAAATTTGTTTATCTTTTCCTAGTAATTCGTCTTCTGTTGTTTCGTGTTTCTCACCATTTATTACTCTTTTTTCCCAACGGGGTTCCAATGAGTCTCGTCCGCATGTCTGAGGAGGTTGCGAAGTGCATCTTCCGTGCTCAACCTGGCCTACTTTTTCTTGTTTTCTCTGCAACTTTCTAATACGTCGCTACATTCTTAGTTAAACTTTGGCTTCTCTATCTTCAATAGTTTGTCTCGATGGAGAACCCTGTAGAGGTCGTAAATGCAGTTGGATTCTCCCTTTTTATGACATGGTTCTTGGTAGAAGCTTTGATACATAGGAAGAGAGATGTGGGGGATGAACAGTTTAGTCACAGAGGTATGAACAGAAAGGTTACGGTTTATACAAAAATCGTTTTCCTTTCCCACGTTTTAATCTCTGTTACCTATCTGGGTTTTTGTTTTTGTGAAGTTTGGAAGCTCAAAACTATCTCTGCTGAATCTGCTTTCCCGGCAATAGCTTGGGTTTTGGTTACTCTGTTTGCAATGTACTCAAAGAATAGGACTGATGTAGAAGAGAGGATTTGGCCTTCAGTCTTTATTTTTTGGTGGATTTTCTCTTGTTTTCTCAATGCTTTCTCTGTCGTCGTCTACCTCCTAACCCATTTAAAACGCAAGGCATTACCTGATTTTGTCCTGGAGGCTAATATTGCCGACGTCGTTTCTTTTCCCTTAACCATACTGCTCTGTTTCAGCGGTCTCCGTTCCAGCCACTCAGTCGGACCCCAAGAGCTCGAACGCTCACTGCTTCAGAAAGAAGACAATAATGTTGTCGGAGATGTCAGCACTTTTGCCCACGCTGGGATTTGGAGACGGCTAACTTTCCGGTGGCTAAACCCTCTGTTTGAGAAGGGTCGGACTCAAAAACTTGAACCGTCACATATTCCTTCAGTTCCTGAATCCGAAACAGCAGAGCAATCCTCTTCCTTACTACAAAAGTCACTTCGTCTACAGAAAACCAGAACTTCTTCTCTTCCGAAGGCAATAATCCATGCTATCTGGAAACCTCTAGCACTGAATGCACTTTTTGCAGGTATAGCCGGCTGGTTTGTCTGTTAGCCTTTTGCTTTCTTTCTTCACCTCTTTCTTCTCAAGGTTTTTATAGATGGGAATTGGCATTCGTTTTTTACAGGGATGAACACAGTTGCGTCTTATATGGGTCCATTCCTAATAGCAAACTTTGTCAATTTCTTAGCGCAAAAGCGTGATGACTCCAGTCACCGTTACGGGCTTTGTCTTGCGTTCATCTTCTTTTTGGCAAAGACGGTTGAATCTCTATCTCAGAGACAATGGTACTTTGGTGCTAACCAGATTGGAATTCGTGTCAGGGCAGCTCTTATTACATTCATTTACAAGAAGTCCCTTTCGATTAAATACGCTGGTCCAAGTAATGGTAAAATCGTAAACTTGATCAATGTGGATGCACAGAGAGTTGGAGAGTTCTTTTGGTACATTCATGGAGTCTGGTTGCTCCCTTTCCAGGTCTTTCTGGCTCTGATTATACTGTACAGAAACCTTGGAGGGGCTCCTTCTTTTGCTGCTCTCTTCACCACGATCCTGGTGATGGTTAGCAACACTCCATTAGCGAATATGCAAGAAGCGCTGCACTCCAAGATCATGGAATCGAAGGACTCGAGAATCAAAGCTACCTCAGAGACATTGAGGAGCATGAGAGTCTTGAAACTGCACTCTTGGGAAACTGCCTACTTGAAGAAGCTCCTTCAACTTAGAGAAATTGAGAGGATCTGCTTGAAGAGATATCTGTATACGTGCTCAGCTGTTGCCTTTCTCTTCTGGGCTTCACCTACCCTTGTCTCAGTCATCACTTTTGGTGTCTGCATTGTGGTTAAGACTCCATTAACATCTGGTACAGTTCTCTCAGCTCTAGCAACATTTCGGATTCTACAAGAACCCATCTACAATCTCCCGGAGCTAATTTCTACAATTGCTCAAACAAAGGTCTCAATTGATAGAATCCAAGAATTCATTGGCGAAGAAGAACAAAAGAAGCTGATAGCTAATCATACTGCAAAAGCATCCCATGTAGCAATTGAAATGGAGATGGGTGAATACAGTTGGGAAACAAGTAGCTCAAATCTAAAGAAGCCCACAATCAAAATTCCTGAGAAGATAAAAATCATGAAAGGTGATAAGGTTGCTATTTGTGGGTCAGTAGGGTCAGGAAAGTCTAGTTTACTCTGTAGTATACTTGGAGAGATTCCTAGGATTTCAGGAATAGGGATTAAGGTGTATGGATCTAAAGCTTATGTTCCACAGAGTGCTTGGATTCAGACTGGTACAGTAAGAGAAAATATTTTGTTTGGTAAGGAAATGAATAGAGGCCTGTATGATGAAGTTTTGGAAGGGTGTGCTTTAAATAAGGACATTGAGTTGTGGGTTGATGGAGATCTCTGTGTGGTTGGAGAAAGAGGGATGAACCTGAGTGGAGGGCAGAAGCAGAGGATTCAGCTGGCCCGTGCCATCTACAGTAATTCTGACGTTTATTTGCTAGATGATCCTTTCAGTGCAGTGGATGCCCACACAGGAGCACATCTCTTCAAGGTAAAAACATATTATAAGCTTCTCAGTTGATTCTTATATGAACTTTCCAGCATTTGAGGAGAGCTTTAATCCTCATTCCCAAACGTATCTTAGGTAAAGGTCTCTTAAAACTTACAAGCTGTTTTACAGGAATGTCTAATGCAACTGCTGTCTCGGAAGACTGTCGTTTACGTCACTCACCAGCTAGAATTTTTGGGTGCTTCAGATCATGTTCTGGTAAGTTACTAGTATCTAATACTATGTAAGCATCATTCTTTTTCTGACAGTACATCCAGGTTCTTAGAATAATTATATTCTAAGTAAGTAAACTATGAATGCAATGCTAGCAGTTCAGTGGTTGTTATACATCTCATGGGATTAAGATGCTTAAATGTTCCTGGTTCAGACTACTACCTGGATGTTCAACTTCTGTGGCATCTGCTCAACCATTTCAACTGAAGTTTGAATATCATAGACAACCAGACAAGGGGCCAATTTGTGCTAAAAATGCCTAAGGTTAGGTCCATATCAGGCCACCCCTCTCTTGGCCCTGGATAGCTGGGGCCAGCATTAGGTAATTTCCCCTTTTGTACATTGTAAATAGAAGAGGAATACAAGCGCACTACAGAATCATGAGGGTGAGATCTAATCCAGATTCCAGACTATCTGTCCCAACAGACCAAATATTATATTAGAAATTGTGCAGATTTGGAAGTATCAACCAATAGAAATTTAAGTTCCAATATTAGAAATTACCAATATCAATAAAGAAAACATTTTCAATTTGAGATGTCTATTTTTTGAATTCTCTTGTGTATATAGAACAGAATAATACCCTTCCATTTTTTTTTTGCATGTCTTTAATAGCCAAATTATTCATGATAATTTGCTTTTTTGTTGATTAATATTCTCCATAGGTACTAAAAGATGGGAAGATCGTTCAATCTGGGAAGTACAAAGATTTGATTGAAGATCCCAATGGTGAGCTTGTCAAACAAATGGCAGCCCATAGCCAATCTCTAAGCCAAGTGAATTCACCTCAACCACAAAGTTTTCCAACCTCTGCACCCCACCGAAGAGATCAAAATGAGGTCACAGAAGAAAAATTCAATGAACCCAACAAAAATGGCAAATTGGCAGAGAGAACTCATGAGGAAGAAACAGGATCTGGTCGAGTGCAATGGCAGGTTTACTCAAAGTTTGTGACATCTGCATATAAAGGAGCTCTTGTTCCAGTGATCATTCTCTGTCAAGTTCTCTTTCAGGGATTGCAAGTTGGCAGCAATTACTGGATTGCTTGGGCAACTGAAAAGGAGGGGAGGGTGAGCACTGAGAAGTTGATAGGAATGTTTACCATGTTGTCTGGCGGGAGCTCCCTGTTCATCCTTGGAAGGGCAGTTTTGCTTACAACTGTTGCCATCAATACTGCTCAGAGGCTCTACCTGGACATGATTACCTCCATCTTCCGAGCACCTATTTCCTTCTTCGATTCCACACCTACAAGTCGAATTCTCAACAGGGTTTGTTCTTTGACTAATTCTAAGTTCCTGTCTTCCTAGTAATTTGTTCCTCATTGCTAGACCATTACTGATGTCATATTTTCTCCTGAAATAACTATTCCATTTGTTTTTTATTTCATTGCAGTCTTCTACAGATCAGAGCACTGTGGATACTGACATTCCCTACAGACTAGCTGGATTGGCATTTGCAGTTATCCAGCTCTTAAGTATCATTATCATTATGTCCCATGTTTCATGGCACATCTTTCTTCTCTTCATTGGCATCATTGCAATCTCTGCTTGGTACCAGGCAAGAACTTCTATGTCCCTTAACATATTTTCAGAAACTATTATAGAGTTTAAGTTACTGCAGTAATAGAAAGTGATCCTAGTCCAAGGATCCACCATCCAATAGATTTTCCCAATAAGGCAATAACATCTCTAGGCCAAGGATCAAGAGTGATCCTCAACTATCCAGTATTTTAATTCTTTTGAACAAGAAATATAGTTTTCTGTTGGTAAAAGGCCACTATTATCATCCAGCAGGTTGGCTGTTTTCTAGAAGTATGATCCCTTACACTGGCCAATTCAAGTTTCTATTATGTGCTACTACCAAGATAGCTAGTATTCTATTGGGCAGGGGTGCAGCTTGGGTTGACCTGAATTAGCCCTTGAACAAAGAAATATATTACTTCTAGAAGATTCTAGAAGTAGAAGTATGACCCATTATACCGGCCAATTCCACTTGTTCTTATGTGCCACCACTACCAAGATAACTAGTATGCTATTGGGCAGGGGTGCAACTCTGGTTGGCCTGAATTAGCATTTTACACTGTTTTGGGTTTGGGCCTTCAGGCTGGGCCCATTTAAATATTGACCAAAGACCAACCCAAGTTACACCCTTACTATTGGGTAAACCATCCCTTGTGTGTCACTGCCAAGATAACCAGTATGCTATTGGTTAAACAATTTTCATGTGTCACTGTCAAGATAACTAATATGCAATTGGTGTGTTCTTATCAAATTTTTTTGCAGGATTACTACATCTCCACTGCCAGAGAGCTAGCTAGAATGGTTGCAAGCAGGATTGCTCCAATCCTTCATCATTTCTCAGAGTCAATTGCTGGAGCAGCAACTATCCGCAGCTTTAATCAGGAAGATAGCTTCCTTGCCAAAACTCTCAGCTTGATTGATGATTACTCTAGCCTTGCCTTCCACAATTGTGCTACAATGGAATGGCTATGTGTTCGAATCAACTTCCTCTTCAACCTTGGATTCTTACTTGTTCTAATAATCCTAGTCAGTCTACCAAGGTCAGCTATTGACCCAAGTAAGCTCCTCCTCTTTTCCTATGTCAAGAATTAAATTTTCAGAGAAAAAATGTGAGATACCAGTAAAGTAGAACATAAGGTCAACCATTGGCAAGAGTTACTCATGGACATATGCAAGGGCTGCAACCCACCAACTGATGGTTGACTTACAAGACCTACTCCAAAAGCAACTAGATTGAATAGTTGCTACTGTTCAGTCAAATGAAATATATTCTTCATCCATAGGAAGCAATTTTAAGAAGCTAGAAAGAGCAAGGGATCAATTGTTATGATTCCATCTTCTTGATTTCCAGTGACCGTAATATTGGTTAAGCTATTTGTACATACAGTGCTAATGAACTTGTGGTATATAATTCCAGGCTTAGCAGGGCTGGCAGCTACCTATGGTTTGAACCTGAACATTCTACAAGCTTGGGTGATATGGAACCTGTGCAATGTTGAGAACAAAATGATCTCAGTTGAGAGGATTCTTCAATTCTCTAGCATACCAAGTGAAGCCCCATTAGTGATTGAAAACTGCAGACCAAGCCCTGAATGGCCAGCCAATGGAACCATTGAGCTCCAAAACCTCCATGTTCAATACAACCTGTCACTCCCCATGGTTCTCAAAGGGATCAATTGCAAATTCCCTGGAGAGAACAAGATTGGAGTTGTTGGCAGGACAGGCAGTGGCAAGTCCACCCTTATCCAAGCTCTTTTTAGAGTGGTGGAACCCTCAGAAGGAAGGATCCTGATTGATGGAGTAGATATTTGTAAGATAGGTTTGGAAGATTTGAGGTCTAGATTGAGTATAATTCCACAAGACCCAACACTGTTTCAAGGAACTATACGAGTTAATCTTGATCCTCTGCAGCAACATTCAGATCAAGAAATTTGGGAGGTAAAAACCTGAAAATATTGCATTTACCTATTTGGAGAGTATTAGTTAAAATCAAGCCCTAATTGAATTGTTTTGAGATTTCAGGTTCTAGATAAGTGTCGTCTTGCAGAGATAGTAAGGCAAGATCAGAGGCTACTTGATGCACCAGGTATAGTTTTAACTAAAGAAAAGGAAATCTAATGGATCTATTGCATAACTATTTCCAGGATTGGAAGTACTGAAACATTGGAACAATGCAGTTGCAGAAGATGGCGAAAATTGGAGCGTGGGGCAGAGGCAGCTTGTTTGTCTAGCTAGGGCATTGCTAAAGAAGAGACGGATTCTGGTATTGGATGAGGCTACAGCTTCAGTGGATACAGCAACAGATAATGTGATTCAGAAAACAATAAGAGAAGAAACAAGCAATTGCACAGTCATTACCATAGCCCACCGGATACCCACTGTGATAGACAATGATCTGGTCCTTGTTCTTGATGAAGGTATATCACAGAAAAACCAGAAATAGAAAGAATTCTTTTATAGAAAATAGTTCCTTAAGCTTGAAAGGGTTATTTCCATTTATTAGGCATGAATTTTAGAGGCATTTCTTACAGCCAAAAATATTCACATGCTCTTTGGCCCATACCCTATTCTTTTACGCCTTCAATCTTTAGCAGAGTACACCTTTCAACTAAGGCTGTCATTCCCCATTAACATATGGCAAACAGATGTTTCTCCATCTGCAAACCTGTTACCCATCACCCCCAAACTCACAAGCCATCACTTGGGCTTTATATTGGCAGTGCAAAGCCGGACACTTAACCTTGAATCTCACTTATCAAGATTCAAAAGTGAATTTGAAGCTTCAAACTAAGCTTGCATAGCAAAATGGGACTAGGCTAAGCTACTGTAAGCTTGGCCCATTTAGATATTATATTATTGTTATTTTACTTTATCACTATTATATTTAAAATTACTAAGGCTTAAAGAAAGCACAATATTTGGAACTGGCCTAATAGAATGGTTTAGCTCATCTTGTTGGGTAGTCCATAACCTGTATTTCTGGAATTTTTCTCATTTAGCACATATCCCTAATAGCTCATTGATAAATTTGAAACATGAGTGTAATGCAAAAATCCAGGAAAAGTATCATTATAGGATATTTAATTATCATTGTGCAACAATCATGGTTAACCTTGTTCTCCTTGCTTATACAGGAAGAGTTATAGAGTATGACTCCCCAGCTCAGCTACTGAAAAATAACTCATCTGCATTCTCAAGTTTGGTAATGGAGTTCTTAAGGAGATCATCCAAAAACTAATCATCACTAAACTCCAACTTCAGACGAAGGATGGAGATCATGCACGAAAGCTCTTTCGTGTTCATCCTTGTGGTACAGAGAAAACAGTTGTCAATTTCTTTGGCTTCATCCTAAAGGAGAAGTATTTGAAAATCAAGGTGGAGGAACATAAGCTTTGCAAACTGTCACTAATTACTGAGGCCACATGCAAAGAATTGAAATGGAAAAAGTAACACAGAACAATGGCCAGAAGAAGAGCAACAAGAATGGTTACACAACTACAATGATTGAAACAACAAATAAAAGGAAAATACAGGATAAACATGAGCTACACAAAAGAAAAGAGTTTTGTGTCATATATTCTAACTTTTAGTTGATACAGCAAGTTATTAACACAGAAAAAAAGAGAGTTTTGTGTTATATCTTCATCATTGTCCCAAGACTCCTAACTGGCATGGCATTAAAATTTGCATGCAATCAAAAATTATAAATGACAATACATATCTGATAATTTTGTACAAGGCTGCTTTTGTGGCTTTAGTCTGACATGGATGTATCCCAGAAGTTTAGGTATGGACTAGGATTTAAGCAAACAGCTTTATTTGCTAAATAGCTATGTATTATATCGTGCATCTTCAAGAGTATAATTTCTAAATTGAATTGTATAAGAAAGCCAGGTGAAGGGAATGCCCTTGGGTCCTCTCTATTTGTACAGTTCTTTCAGTAAAACAAGAATGCCCTTGGGTCCAGATATGCAGAGTGCATATCAGATCTATATAGGCCAGATGGCATCTGCAATTGCTTCTTGTTGTTTGAGATATGTTGTGCTTCTGGTGTTACTTCTGATCAGTTACCTATTTATTTCACTAAAAGTTATACCACATTGCTTAGCTGCCATTGCTCTATGTTGATGTGTTAAAACAATCTCTAACACTCTACCTAAATACTTCTGCCCATTTGTGTGTATCTTTATAGAAGTTCTAGAAAGAAGAGGTGGACACCGATTAGACAATACCTTCAGTGAGAGAAAATGAAAAACAAGCAATTTCATTTGAAAATGGGAAAAAAACTCTATTGCATGAAATAATGAAGAGAAAGAAGAAAGTTTCTAAAGGCTTTCTTAGCTGTGTATAATATGATATGAACACAGAAATATATATAGAGCACAAACAATAAACCACAGACAGTTCACAAAAACCAAAAAAAAAAAAGAAAAATGAATATAATTTCTGTAACAATAAACAATTCCACCCAGGTCCATAGATTGCAGATGTGTTTCAAAAACCCATGACAGAACAGTTTCTGATGTATGTTTCAACTAATAGTTCCTCCCCATAGGCCTTAAAAGCTAGGCCCCAGCCATTAAAAGAGTCAGCTCTGACTCCTGAGGGTGAGTAGCAAATGTTTTCCTTCTTGTCATATTTCTTCACCATGTTAGTTGAGTGCTCAACTGCATAGATATCCACTAGTGCTACAAGTGGAGGTGCCTGAGATGCATTATTGACATTTAGGTGTATTATGTAACTCTCTTTTATTGCAATAGCCACACATGAACAACAAAGCAGAAGCTAATCATGTAAAGCACAACACCCCTGCCTAGCATCTATGCATAAAGCTCTTTTGTTTGCAATTCCTAGTTAGCATTTTACATTGATTTGGGCTTGGCCTTGAGTTGGCCAGCTAGTATGCTATTGCACCCCTAAGAAAAAGCATACAACTACTTAATTGGACTATTGGAGTAGATATTCCACACCAGTTGAAGAAACAGACAACACCACCAACAACAACAACTGCTACACCTGTAGTAATGGTCCTTCCAGACTACTGTTTTTAATTTAAGCAGGTCCTGTTTTGAGTTTTTGGAGTCGAACTATGATGCCTATTGTTGCCTTATATAAAAAGATTGAGTTTGTTAAGAAGTACTACTCCTCAAGGGAGGGGAATGGGCTACCTAATACCTAAAAGAGTAACAAGGCCTTGAACTAAGAATGTTGCCTTTAAGGCTGCATTTGGTTGTGATACAAATGCCAATACTCTCATTTCGGCTCATGAATGCAAAGTGGTGTTTTACGTTCTTGTTTGTTTGAAATCGATGCAAAACATGGGAGTAAAATTAAATTCTCCCCTGCCTTAAACTTTGGTCATATGCACCAATCTATAAGCATGTTACGTTGATTATCAAAGACCACAAATCTATATCCAAAAAATGGGTACACTAATGCCCTCTTTTCAGGATACAAAGATGTCAAAAAAGCATTCTTGACCTCTTAATCATTGTATTTTTGTATGTCAAACAAACATTTATAAATCTGAATCGGGTACATAAATGGCCCAGTCCGAACACACACTAGGCATGATACCTAAAAAGCTAACCAGTATCATAAAAATGACAACCAATCAGCTATTCATCATCATCATCATCCAATCCTGTCCCAACTACATGGGATTCGTTATATACCATTTGATTCATTGTTTTCGCATAAAAGTGGTAACCAATTAACCGATCATAATCATAATCATTATCATCACTGTCCCAATAGGGTTCGTTGAACACCATTTGATTAATTTTTGGCTCATGTATCGCTTACTATTTTAATCTATAGCCATATCTCTTACAAGCAAAACTTCTGTTTAGTGCTCAGATGGCGTCTAGTTGTACATCCAGAATTTGGATCTGCTCCTCACAGCGACCTCACAACCACACCCTACCCTGTATTGGAAACATCTCCCAATGAATAATAAATACAAGTATGAAAGATGTTCCCGATGTACAGCCAAGACATACTATGAGATCAGTGTGAAGCATGCTCTGAGGAGCAGATCCAGACTCCAATATATCTCCCATACATGTATGTTAATGTGCAGCTGTGCCCTGTGTGCAGAGTTTTTGTTGGCAGGTAAACCTGTTCATCAGTTGGGCTTTGGGCTCTAATTTCAGGGCCCATTCAAATGTTGACAAAAACTAAATCCTCACTTGACCCATGAACAGGTATACTGATAGGACATCCCATTGTTAATATGTATCCTTTTTTGTTGGACTTTAACTCTTTTAGTTCCATCAACTTGTTGGGCAATAGTTTTTTTTTTTTTTTTTCTAAATGATTTTGTACATGTGAAATGTGATCGAATCATCTTTGTCTAATTTCTCTCATTTTATTACTTATTAGAGTTATTTCTGGTTATTTTGTATGATTTCATTTTTGTCCTTTGCTTTATGCAGATTAGCTAATCTGCTTATTTTTTGGACATATACGATTGGAAAATGCTACTGCTTCATTGTCCAAAAACTTCTCTTATTTTTCTTGTTTGACTAGGGGAGAATTAAGAAACAAAGGCTTCTCTCATTTTCTTGTTTGATTAGGATTTAGTGGAGAATTAGGAAAAGAATATAACTGATGAATGAGTTTATCCTGATGTTTCCAGTTTCTACACAGAAGTGCATTCTCCTTAGAGTTGGTGGCATGGTTTTCAAAACCGGATTAGACTGGACGGTCAGACCAGAAAAACTGGGAACTGGTCAGGTGATCGGTTCCGTTTTATCCCAGAACCGTTATTTTGCCAAAAACCATTGATTTGGTCAACAAATCGCTGACCCGGGTGGTCAAACCATCTAACGGTTTTAGCTATTTTTTATTTTTTTAAATATTTTTATTTTTTGTCAAAATAGGCCATCCTAAACGGTCAGACTGTTCAACCTGAGAACCGGACCCCTGACCGATTCGTTGTCCGGTTGAATTTTAAAAACCTTGATCGGTGGTATTCATAACTAGACGAGTTTTATCACTATCACTAGTTGTCTCTCATTCTTATTAGATGAGGAATGAAGGAAGAACGACCTCAAAGAAACGTCAATACTTAAACTTGGGTCAGTTGGACCGGAAATTGACTTGTAGGCCGGGCTGGGCTGACATCTTGGAACGTTTAGTTGGGCTTGGGCTACAAGATTTTAGCGTCACTCCAGTTGATTATGGATTGAAATTGACCCTCCGGTAGTAGACCTGGCAATCGGGTTGGGTCGGGTTGAATTTTGGGTTGGGTTGTCAAATGCTAGACCCAAACCCTAAATGTTCGGGTTAAGGTTGACCCATGGATCAATTCAGGTCATCCCAAAAAATAATTAAAATTTAAAAAAATAAAGAAAAATTACATGAAAAATGTCAAAATTAAAAGAACTAACCTTAAAATTCCAAATATAAAATAAAAACTTGAACATTTAACAATTTAAAGAATAAACAATAAAAAGTAAAGACTAAATAGAAAAAATTAAAGAGTGGAAACTTCTAACAATGCATAAATAATCTCAATTAGACTTGACAATCGGGTCAGCGGGTTGGCCCATGACCCAACCAGGATTTTTTGGGTCGGGTCGGGTCGGTTTCACGGGTTGAGTCAACTTTTTGTTAGGTCTACCCGGTAGTGATCTGGTTCTGGAAAAGGTCGTACAGGCATAGTGGGGAATGGAAAGTTTTTGGGCTGGAGTTTTTTTTCCATAATTTTGGCTTAATTAATGCTTACATTACATTTTGTCCAGATTCTTTTTTCAATTTTTTTGCAAGGTATATTGAATCTATTTTCTCTCTCTCTTGTGGTGAAAATCTTCCCTCATGAGAATCGGTCTGGCCCATTTTAAGTCAAGCTTAGACATGAATTTAGATCCACAGGCTTAGGTTTGGGCCCAAAACACTCCATTTTTTTGGGTCAAGCTTAGATTTTTTCAAAAAAAGGCTAGCTCAAGTCCAAGCCCAACTTAATAATATATTATATAATAAAAAATATATTTTATATAATAAAAAACATATATCCAATATGTTTTTTTCTTCCTTCCTCTTCTCTTTTTCCAATTCATAGTAAGATATTTCATTATTGTTGGGTTTTGAGGTCTTTTAATATAAATAAAGCTGTAACTATTCTCGGTTTATATTGTCTTGACTTTAGATTGTATAATGATATCTCATTGTATCCATTCATCAGCCAGGCCAGACCTCGTTTGGCTTCAATTCTGAACATTCTTATCTTCAAAATAATCTATTCAAGAAAGAATGAACTCTGGAAATTCTCATCCAAAGAATTCGCATAAGCGTTTGATGCACTCGTCTGATTCTTGTTTCTCAGAATCAAAATTATGTTGCCATCACCCTGTTTCTTCAAATCAATTCTCTAAATGAGGAATATAGAGAACCACCCCCTTAATAAATTGGCATTTAGTTAAGATACCATTCCCTCAATAAATTGACTTGGTTTTATTAGATTTCTTTCTCTACTTTTTTATATACTTTAACCCATTTAGTTGAAATAGCATTCCCTTCTTTCTTCCATCAAATCAAAGAACAAAAGCATAAATATGTTTACTCATATTTTTTTTTAAGTAATCATTAATCAACCCAAACTCGATTGAACCTACAATGAACAAAATTATGAATATGTTTTATCATATTTTTCGTATTTTCAGTAATCATCAATAAGAATATTCAACCGCATAATTTTTCTTATATTTTCAATAATAATCCAAACTTCATTTAGTTATTCTCAAATAGAGCAGTGTTAGATTTTTCATTAATAATCTAGAATCAATATCCAAAATTATGAACCACATAAATTTTCTCCAACAGAACAATGGTTCTGATGACATTAGGTTGTTACCACCAGTACCTAACCACATTGCATTAATGTTTAATAGATTCAACTGGTGATAACGAGCTGAAATCTCCAAAAAACAATATTGCAACCAGGTATTGAATCACCTATCTTGGTTCGTGTTTCTCTAAGATTACAGTAAAAATTTTGTCAAAAAATTACTAACGACGCATTTTTCATAT